TGGTAAAGATTACAGCCTTAAAACCTTGTAGGGCAGTTTTACTTGGTCCCTACTTCCGTAGTGATACTGCCTTGGAAACCCAAGGAGGGGTCGCTATGAGTCAGGGCTGACTCGACGGCACATAACAACAACAACAACAATAGGGTCTTTATGAGTTGGAATCAACTCAACAGCAGTGGGTTGGGTTTGGTTGAAACATTACTTACTTCTGTCATGAAATTCTGCTCTCAAAGTTTTGGTAATTTTCCTCTCTCCTGAGAAAGACATTTTCACATAGATAACATGAATGTTTTCTCATAGCAAACATATGGAAAGGCAGACAGGTATGCAAACAAGTGTGTTCTCCTTTGGAAACTTTTCCTTGCCTAAAATAACTTTGCTTGTTACTGATAATACTGATGCTAGTTTCAGATACTGATAATACCAATGCTAGTGCCAAGAGTCTTGACTTTTAGTCCAACACTCTCTTGGTCCATGCCCCCTATTTAAAATAAATTAATTAATTACTGAGTTGATTCCTAGTCATGGCAACCCCATGTGTTACAGAATAAAATTGCTCCATAGGGTTTTCTTGGCTGTAATCTTACACAGAAGCAGATTGCCAAGACTTTCTTCCATAGCACCAGTGAGTGGGTTCAAACTGCCAACCTTTAGCTAAGTAGTTGAGTATAAACCTTTTATGTCACCCAGGGACCTTTTATGCTACTTGTTATATCCTAAGAATTAGTAAGTGGAAATATTAAGTAAACTATATTTAATTCAACATCCAAACATTTAAAAAATCAAGCTAGTATATTCCCTTCCCTTCTATCATGACAAGGAGCTGGGTGGCATATGGTTAAAACATTCAGCTACTAAACAAAGGGTTGGTGTGGTTCGAACCCACCAACTTTTCCATGGGAGAAAGATGAGGCAGCCTGCTTCCATAAATATTCACAGCCTTGGAAACCCTATGGGGCAGTTCTACTCTATCCCAAAGGGCTGCTATCAGTTGGAATCAACTTTATGGCAGTGGATTTCTATTATGACTACTTGGTTATTTGTAGTCTTAGTTTTACCTTATTTTTTAATAAGAAGAAATTCATTGCTTTTCACTGCCCCAACTTCTCAAATTTGAATGCTTTATTAACTTTTCCAGGTTACAAAGGTGGTTTTTAATAAGTAATATTTCAATATACTTATTAAATATTATCAAAATGCATTTATATAGTTAAAGACATTTTTCATCGATATTTTATTATTCCATTCTATTTATATAATACAATTATAAAACAGAATATATGTAATGAAAAGCCATTAAAATAAAGAGTGAAACTGAAATTCATTTAAAAATGTAACAATTTGTTTTTAAATTCTCTGACATGCTCATACTTTCAAGATACTAATTTTAAAATATTAAGAGGCAAAACCTAGATGGCTACTTATACATATCAATAAAGAAGTGTCTCAGAGGTACTTATTATAAAGAAATGTTGTTAGAATTAATAATATTATTGAAATATATACCACAAAGAAGTAAGTTTAGTGGGGTCAATTATCCCACTAACTTTGGAAAATTAAATAACTAAAGATTATGATGCTCACATTACCACTACAACAGCAGGTTATCCAAAAAGTAGCCTGGAATCCTGGCTGCAAAGTTGGAAATCTGATTTCTAGTTCTGACTCATAATGTTAAGTAGCTACTTAAGGTTGTGACCTTGACCAACCTCGGCCTCTCTGAACATTGGTTTTTCTTCTATGAAATGAAGGAGAGGAAGCTGAAATTTTCAGGGTTTCTTTCAATTCTAAATCTTTTATCATGTCAATAAACAAAGTCAAGGAGATTTGTCTCAAGAACTGGATTAAATTTTCACCTTTATAAGCATATGGTCTGCTTTCATACATTTTGGTTAATTTAAATAATATCTTTTGTGCCCCAGAGTTCAATTATAAATTGTATATTGATCATGTCATCCCAGGTCTTTGCAAGTCTTATTTTATCAGAAATCTTTTCTATAAGATACTTGAAATAACCATGTTGAAATAAAAGTTATTAATAACTAAGAGCTAAGGTAATCTACTGTATGGTTATATTATTAGTACTTCTTATATTTTATAGTAAGTTAAGATTTAAAAGCATCTTCTGAAAATCTTTCTTTTTTTCTTTTTATTGTGCTTTGGGTATAAATATACATAGCAAACTTGCTTTACACTGACTAGTTCATGCACATATGGTTACATGGCCCTGATAACTGTCCCCAACTGTAAGAAACTCTCCTCCCAGTGGCCACCCCCTCCCTGTGCCCCTCTCATCCATGCATTCCTATCTGTCCAGACTTCCCTGTATGTGAATGCTATCCCTCTGGTGTCTCATGTCTGCTTGATCCAAGGGGTGCATCTCCCTAGAGTAGGTGGGGCCCTGGGTAGGTGTTCTACATGTAGGTCTTTCTACTGTTGGGCTGAGAGCCAGTCCATGGAAGTAAGCTCATTTCCAGGCTCAAAGGGTAACCCGGGACCATAGTCTCAAGGTTTCCAACAGTCTCTATTCTGACCAGTAATTCTGGTCTTTTTCACATTTTTGAATTGTGTTCCACATTTTTCTTCCCACCCTATCCAAGATCAAGGTCTGATCCCTTTCCAAGTAGTTGGCATTGGTAGCCAGGCACCATGTAGTTCTCCTGGTCTTGGGTCATGGAGGCTGAGATCCTCTGGTCCACCTTATCTCTAAGCTAATTGTTTCCAGATGACTCTGATTTTCTTCACTCTTCTTTGCGTCAGTCCTACAATAATTGCATCTTAGATGGCTGCTTGAAAGCTTTTAAGACCCTAGTTGCTACTCACCGAAGTAGGTTCTCGAACAAAATTTCTGTGAAATATGTCTGCCAATTGGGCATGATGTCCCCCAAGAATATGGTCCCAAGCCCCTAGGCCTGGTGATTCTCTCTCATAAGATGTTTGGTTGTCTGTGCAAAGTTCTTCCCACCCTGTCTTCTGTTGCTTCTGTTATGTGTGTCCATAAAAGATATAGACAACAGAGGCAAACACTATTACAGACACAACACTGCAGTATCACTAGCACTAAATACCAGTCTAGCATAGTGGCTAAGACACTTGCCTGCTAACCAGACGGCTGGTGGTTCAAACCCACCAGCCACTCCTTGGAAGGAAGGTTGGGCAATCCTACTTCCGTAGTGATACTGCCTCGGAAATCCAAGGAGGGGTCACTATGAGTTGGGGCCAACTCGACGGCACATAACAACATAACAAATACCAGTCTACAGATTAATGCCTAGACAGGTGAGAAGAGCAGATGGGGACAGGTAAACAGGAATACACCATAGACCAAGGATAGATCTGGCTGAAGATAATCTTACATGTGTACTTGTGATACAAAATTAGCAATATACATTAGAGAAGCATCTTCTGAAAATCTTTGCATAAATAAATTAAACTATGACTTCATTTCTCTACATATCCTGTGTGAAAATTGCATGGTAGGGGTATCTGACCTTGTCTAACTTCAGAATGGAAGTAGCAGCAGCAGCAACAGCCCAAGGCTGATCCCTATGAGGCAGAGGTCAAACATACCTCCACCCTCCAACCTTTTTTTTAACTAATTCTGATATCAGCTGTCCCTCCCACAGCACTCTTTAGTTCTCTATTGGGTTCAATCATTTCAGTGGCCACACAGCACTTACCAGACCATATTCCCAGTTGTGGGGTTTACTACAGGAGTAACTGGTTACAATTCAGATCAGGAAAAACCCAGGACACAGTTCTCCTCAGCTGTGCCAGTAGGCAAGCATCTCTCCCTGTCTCTGTCTTTCTCTCTCACCTCTCAGCTCCTTAACCACTGGGCCTGGCCTCTGTTCTGCTTGGGCAAGTGTTACAAAGCTCTTTAGGCTCCACCACTAAGTGCCCAGAAACACACCATTCTGCCAGTAAGCCTCAGCCAAAGGCACTCAGCTCTCTCGCTCCAGGAGTCAGCAAGTCTAGCTCCACTGATAAGTGCCTAGAGGCACCCCACTCTGCCAGGAAGCCTCCTGCCCAAAGGCTCTTAGCACTCTTGGTCTGTAGGTTGAGGGGCCCACTATCGCTGCTTTGACCCGAGTGCCAGGAAGCCGACCACAGTGTCCCACACCAGTCTCATGGTTCTGCTGCTGCTGCTGTTTCTCTGTCACTGCTTCTCACCATCTCATGCCATATCCGCTGTTACAGCTTTTTCTTCCTCTCTCTGTCTCCTAAGTCTAGGAGGTTCTCAGTGTCAGTGCAAGTACCCTGGATCGAAAGGATGTGCTCTGCTCCCATCTCTTTGTCTTCTTTGTACTGAGATCCCCTCTTTCCACCTCTGTGATGGCTCATTCTAAACCTGGTGGGATAGCAAAACTGACCAATGCCCTCATAGGATCCCATACACCTTATTTGTACAGTACATCCCCACAGTTTCCACAAACATTATTGGCTTTATTAGCAAGCTGTCCAATCCCCTTAGTGGGCCACAAGTACCTTATCTGCATGTTGTTGTTGTTATGTGCCGTCAAGTCAGACCTGATTCTTAGTGACCCCTCCTTGGGTTTCTGAGGCAGTATCACTATGGAAGTAGATTGCCCAGTCTTCCTTCCAAGGAGTGGCTGGTGGGTTTGGACCGCCAGCCTTCTGGTTAGCAGTCAAATGCCTTAGGCACTATGCTACCAGAGCTCCTAAGTCCCACGCAATCATACGGTAGGAGTTTCAAGACCATGGCAAGAAAGAACACAGAGAAGTGATCCATTGCACTTCACCCTGAATGCCACTCTGAATAAAATTTCTAGTAAATAAATTAACTATTTCCACCAATGAATATTGCTGTGCTCATGTGCTACAAAGATCTATTTTCTATTTTTAGATTATCTCTTGTATATATGTGCATTTAATGTTAGCTCTAAGTAATAAAACTGAGAGAGAATAAATTATGGTGCAAAATGAATTAAAAATAAGCATCCCTGAAAAATACAACGATCATAATAGGAGACCATTACCTGAACAAACAAAGCAATGATAGCAATCCCATGTGGTTTCCCCACAGCCTCATCAATACTGCCAAACAGGGTGGAGTTCCAGTGAATTAGGTGGAGCTGGAAGATCAACAATAACAGGTATTAATGCAATTTAATTTAGAAAAACAAATATCTATCAACCTAACTATATTTATATAATATCATATACTACAGAGAAAAAAAAAAAAAAAAAACTGCTATCGAGTTGATTCCAACTCATAGTGACCACCATTGAGTTTCCAATGTAAATCTTTACAGAAGTAGACTGCATCGTCTTCTTCCCACAGAGCAGCTGGTGGGTTTGAACCACTGACCTTCTGGTTAGCAGCCAAATGTCTTGTGCCACTGGAGCTCTTACTCTAAAAGAGTATCACAAAAAAGAGTTGTCCAGTTGACTCTGATTCATGGTGACCCCACATGCATCAGAGTAGAACTGTGCTCCATAGAGTTTCCTAAGGCTAATTTTTCAGAAGTAGATCACCAGGCCTTTCTTCTAAGGCACCTCTGGGTAGACTAGAACGCTAACCTTTCTCAGCCAAGTACAGTAACTGTTTGCAGCACCCAGGGACTTGAAGAATATACACATGGAAAACAAATACAACTATTGTCTTAAGAGGTTCTCTGTATGAATTCTTTTCTTCTCATTTCTGAGAAAAAGCAACATCTAGTGGATAACTGCTTGTCAAGTCCAGCTTTCATTCTGATCAAGATCACAGCCAGGGTAACCTGAACATCTTACACCAGTTTAGTTGCCTTTCCTTAAATGTCATCCCTGCCCCCATCCCCCATTCCTCCACCCCACCTCACCCACAGCAAATCTCAGTGGAACAAAACCCAGGTCACGATAAAAAAATCGAGACTCATTCAAATACTGCCTAATAAAATACTGTCTCACCCAGGATTTTCATCAAGAAATTTACAAAGCCAGCCTCAAATCTCCACAAATTATCTCAACTTGCTACAAAAATCCAGAGACAGCATCCTATAATAATAATAATGACAATAATAATAAAATGTTTTACTTTTTAAAAAAACTATGGTAAAATAACGAATGCCGATATAAACCTCTATAATGCCACTTCCTGCACAGAAGCCAAATTATTTTTTCTGAAAATAAATGACAGACAATGCGCCAAACAACTCCCTCATTCAGAGTGTCATTAAATTTGTAGCTTCCAAGTTTATCTAGAATATGCACTTGCTCCTACTTTATGATAATAAAACACTTGCACAAAGCCAAATTCAATCTCCTGGCTAAAAAATCAAATGGCCACTGACGTTCTTATTATAACAATAGCTAAGGAAAACCTTTCACCTGAATTACTATTTTCATTACTGCAGCTTTTAATCGAGTTATAATTATTTACTACATTGAAACATTAGGAGCTTTGGTGGCATAGTGCCAAAGGCACTTTGATTACTAACCAGAAGGCTGGCAGTTCAAACCTACCAGCCACTCCTCTGAAGGAAGAATGGGCAATCTAGTTCTGTAGTGATATCACCTCGGAAACCCAAGAAGGGGTCGCTATGAGTTGAAATTGACTCCACAGCACTGAGTTTGTTTTTTTTCTTGTTGTTGAAACATAGCCTAATTTTAAAATTAGTTATAATGCAAGAAGATATAGTCAAAATTCAATCACCACATCATTTATCATACTGAAAAATATTCAGGAATATTATCATGAGGATTGACAAAATAACTCATTTTTCTATTTCTGAATTTGCCCAACTAGAAATAGAGATTATCAAACTGACCACTAGAGGGAGCACATAAAATCCTCTAACCACACTAGAAATGGTAACGGGTGGAAAGACTAGGTCAGACTTGAAAAACTCACATGGAGTATAAACACCAAGGAAGTGTAACTGTCAAGGCACAGCCTGTAAGAAAACAATGTTCTATAACCTTTAGATTATTAATGAAAGACATACCAATTTTAATCTTTCCTTCTCTGGCTGAAACAATAGCATGGAAATCCTAGTGGGATAGATAAGAACCGATTGCCTTACATAAATCAACAAAGGAGGACTTGGCCCAAGGTTGAAATTTATTTTTATTTGACAAATTACAAAGTCCAAATTGGTATTCTTCTTACTCCTTATAGCAACATTACTGGTAGCTTATTTTTCTGAAATAAACAAACAACTAAAAACGTCCACCCTTTTTTCGTTCACTCCTCACAATTCAGCAATACCATCATTCATACCTGTTTTTAAAAACTGCCTCACATTTTTTTGTTTGTTTAAAAAGTTAAAGATCCCAGCCCTTAAGTATGAGCAGCACATAGTGACTTCCCACCAAAGGTAACTGTGGAAGTGGCAGGGGAGTGAGCAACTTTCTAGTAGTATGACAAACACTTCTTCAGCCATGTGATACAGTTCAACATCAACAGTGAATTCATATGAGATGAAAAAGAAGCACTTTAGCTCCTCTCAGTACTCTCTTCCTTCAGCCTAATCATGAGAGAAACATGAGACAAACATTCAATATGGCATCCTACAATACACCTGACCGACCACTCAAAACTGCCAAGGTCACAAAAAAAAAAAAGGAAAATGTGTCACAGCCAAGAAGAGCCTAAGGACACAAGACAAATAAATGTAATCCCTGGATGGGACCCTGGAACAGGAAAAGACATCAGGTAAAAACTAAGGAAATGTGAATAAAGTATAAAAACCAAACCAAACTCACTACTGTCGAATCAGATCCAACTCACAGCGACTCCTCCTTGGACTTCTGAGGCAGTATCACTACGGAATTAGATTGCCCAACCTTCCTTCCAAGGAGTGGCTGGTGGATTTGAACCACCAGCCTTCTGGTTAGTGGTCAAATGCTTTAGGCACTATGCCTCCAGAGCTCCTGAATAAAGGAGACTTTACTTAATAATAATGTATCAACATTGGTTTATTAATTATAACAAATGAAGATCTTCGATGAAAATCAAAGATTACAGTCATCAGTTACACCTGAATCTAAAGAAAACAAAAGCCCTCACACTGGACCAGTATGCAACATCATGATAAATGGAAAAAAAGACCGAACTTGTCAAGGATTTCATTTTGCTTGCATCCACAATCCATGCCCGTGAAAGCAACATTCAAAAAATCAAATGATGTACTGGGCAAATCTGCTGCAAAAGACCTCTTTAAAGTATTAAAAAGCAAAGATGCCACTTTGAAAACTAAGGTGCACCTAACTCAAGCCATAGTACTTTCAATCCTTTCATATGTATGTGGAAGTTGGGCAGTAAATTAGGAAGACTGAAGAACTGACGCATTTGAATTATGGTGTTAGCAAAAAAAACCTGAAATTTCCATGGACTGCCAGAAGAACAAAAAAGTCTGTCTTGGAAGAAGTACAGCCAGAATACTCATTAGAAGTAGGATGGCGAAACTTTGTCTCATACACTTTGGACATGTCATCAGGAGGGACCAGTCCCTGGAGAAGGGCATCATGCTAGGTAAAGAAGAGGGTCAGCGAAAAAGAGAAAAACCTTCAATGAAGATGGACTGACACAGTGGCTGCAACAATGAGCTCAAACATATCAATGACTGTGAGGATGGCACAGGACCTGGTAGTGTTTCATTCTGTCATATGTAGGGTCACTGTGAGTTAGAACCAACTCTAAGGCAACTAACAACAAATAATAATGTAAGAGGTAAATAACAGGGAAAAACGGATGTGGGACATATGCCCTGAACGATCTTCACAATTTTTCTGTAACTATAATACTTTTTTTAAGTTATTAATTTTAAAAAAAGAAAGTAAGTAAAATTAAGGAAATTACTGGCACTTTGGCCAACCCAAACTAAAAAGATAACAGAAGATTTTGTGGTCCCTGGTATAGATAACATACTGACACAAACTGAAAATAACAAGAGAACCTCTGTCACTTGTTCGTTTTAACATCTAGTTCTTACATAATCACCTGAGACTTGGTAGTTCATGGTCAGAATAGGTCTTCCCTCAAAGTCAAGAAGTGAACTAAGTTTTAAAAACAAAGCTTTGCTTTGTCCTGATATTGAGAAATTGTCTTGTCTGGAAGTGCCTTTCTCTCATTTTAAAATCAAACGTCATTAAAGTTCCCCAAAATACTGTAGAAAGGTTAATTCGATAACAGGCAAATTTCCAAAACATTCTGGAATTTGGCCAACCTGTCAGTTGCAACCTAGGAACTCAGACACATGATCTGAGGGCACAGCATGGCTGCATCTGTGCTCCTCCTAGCTTCAGCTCCCTCTGCCCCTAGAGCTTTCCCACCCTCCACCTCTCCCTCCTTGTCCTTTCTCCCCACCTTAATGAAGTTTTCTCAGACCTCAAATGCTTGAATTATTCACGTCAGCTTCTGTTCTCCCACAGCCCCTTCTTTATTCCTATAATTTTATCACATTTTGCCTTATATTAGTATTAATTTGGTCACATAAAGGAAAGTCATACAGGCAGAAAAAATATTGATACTTTTAAAGAACTAAAAATATCTATGTGGGTGGCTAGGAAAAAAAAAAAAACCTCACTACTGTGGAGTCGATCCCAACTCATAGTGACCCCTCCTTGGGTTTCCAAAGTGGTATCTCTATGGAAGTAGATTGCCCAGTCTTCCTTTTGAAGAGTGGCTGGTGGGTTTGAACCACCAGGCTTCTGGTTAGCAGTCAAATGCCTTAGGCACTATATCACCAGATGACAGGAGACAGGGTTGGAAAAGTACATAGGGTCAGACTGTATACAGAGCTTTAAATTTTATCATAACTGTATTTTTCCCAAAATACAATATAATGTAATACAATGTGATATACATTATTAATATTTATACTTCCTTGATTCAATGAAACTCATACCCCATAATAACCTCTTTCCCAAAAAAGGTCTTTTGGTGGTATGGAGGATAGATTAGGAGAGTAGACCTTGGTGACTAGAGATATGCTAGAAAACTACCACAGTGGTTGCAGTTAATAATATTGTAATAGAAGTGTACAAACAAAAAAGTTTGGAGATGAATGGAACGAGAGCAGTAGCAATGCAAATAAAGAGAAAAGGTTCTAACAATTAAAGCAAAAATAGTTGATATTGTTCTAATACT